TGAATTCATGAGGAGAAAGGTGCCAGTTTCCATAAAAAAAGGTGAGAGAATCTGACTCCTAGAGGTGCAGAATTAATATAATGCTGTTCCACTTCTGCTCATCATCAGGAACTCTTCATCCCACTGAAATAATTAAGGGTGCTATGATAAATGCAATATAGTTCTACAATTTTGCTATCAGGTCCGTTTGTGGCAGTATAATGGCAGGAGATGAATATACTAGATGTAGCACAGGTTACAATGTGCAAGGGTGTTGCAAGTGGCAGTGCTATTCCTACACACATACACAAATCCATTCAATTCTCTTAATCCACCCTTATAAACCTGCTTTATATGCCAAGGCTCCCAAATTGCCTCAAATACCCACAGAAGTGTGTGGTTCTTCTTGACTTCAGGTTCTATAATGGTTTCCTCCATGCAGCTTTCAGCACTGTAGTGCACTAAAATTCATGTCCAGTTGTTCAATATGCAATATGATGTTGGAAAAAAGTATCCGGGAGCTAACACTCAAACTTCTGAGTGCACAGAAAAAGGCAGGAAATACAACAGCAAGTCCAAAATCCATTGAAAGGGGGAAAACCTTTTTTTCTTTCTCTCTTTTTTAAAAATATTTGGGCTTTGAAAACCAGTCACCCTTTACTTATACTGAAAGATTACCCTATTGTGATTTTGAGTTCCAGGTTGGCTTCATTGATTTAAAAGGCCCCTATCATAGTGGTATATTAACTTGTCACACTGTAACATATGTGTCCTCCAAATATCCTTGTCAAATAGAGAAGTGTTATTACCTCCCCACCCCTCGAGATGATGAATCAAAGCGCAGGCTTCAGCAAGTCACTTTCTCAAAAAGTGACTTGTCCATCGTCACACCGGAAGTCTATTAGGGTACATCTACACTTACTCCCTAGTTCAAGCTAGGGATGCAAATGTAGCCAACAGAAATTGCTAATGAAGCGGGGATTTAAATATCCCGTGCTTCATTAGCATAATCTCCCCCGCGCGTTATTCCACTTGCCAGCTGATTCGAACCAGGAAGTGCTCTCTGGGACGTGTTAGTTCGAACCAAAGCCCTTGGTTCAAACTAACGTTACTCCTCATTTTTTGAGGAGCACACTTACTGGTTCAAATCAGCTGGTGAGAGGAATAATGCATGGGCGAGATTATGCTAATGAAGCACGGGATATTTAAATCCCCGCTTCATTAGCAATTTCTGTTGGCTACATTTGCATCCCTAGCTTGAACTAGGGAGAAAATGTAGACGTACCCTTATAGAGCAAGGAATGGAAATTAAATCTCCATAGTGCCATGCTACTGCTCTAACCAGTAGACATCCTCCCTCCCTCGTTTTCTCTTCCTCCTTGTCTTTTCTAGCACCTCCAAATTGGAAGGTCCAAAGAACATCCAAATCCTCAATTTAGCCCTTATGGCATGTCTACACTAGGAAGTTATTTTGAAATAACTTATTTTGAAATAATAACTCTGGAAATAACTATTTTGAAATAGTGTGTTCACGCTACAGGGAAGCCTTGAAATTAGTCCAAGGCTACTTTGACTTAGAGCCCCAGGAAGTTCTGGGAAGTAATTACTTTGAATGACTCTAGGGAATAATTATTTTGAAATAACAGCAGTGGAGCATCCACACTACCACTATTTCGAAATAAGTGTTATTCCTCGTGGAAAGCAGGAGTTATTATTTCAAAATAACCAGCCCATTGTTTCAAAATAATGGGCTTGGAAATGTGGATGCTCTGCTTGTTGTTTCGAAATAACTGTAGATTAGGGATGTAATAGTATAGTCGATTAACCAATAAGCAAAAGCTTATAGGCTAATGCTATAGACTATATGCATTTCTCTCCTCCCAACCTTGCCAATAAATTTTTAGCAGGCTGGCCAGCAGCTCAGCTCAGTTCTGGCTGGCACCGTGTCCAGAACCTATTCCTACTGCAACCCTGCATTTAAAGTTTATTAGAAGCCAGGCAGGCAGACAGCATGGCTCAGTTCTGGCTCAGGCTGGGTCCAGGAGCACAGACCCACCTTAGACAGGGGCTGCAGCAGCACTGGGCAACAGGCAGCCAGTCCACAGTGGGAGCTGTTTTTTTAACTGACTCCCCTCCTGGACCAGCTCCTGCCTGACACCCTGAATTGCTTCCTCTTATAAAATGGCTACTGTCCTACCCCCAGGGACTATAGAATAGTCGACTAAATGATAAGAATTCATGAGGTTACAGGACTATACAATTAACAGATATTTAACATCCCTAGTGTAGAGCAGGGATTCTGCCTCTTGTTTCTTCAGATCTCTGATGCTCTTTATTTAGTTGCTCAAAAAGAAAATCACAGTTGTTTGCACATGCACCAGAATTAGTTGTATTTGAAGTCCTTTCTCAAAATTCACAAGCCTGCAGTAATAGGATATGAGCTTTGGAAAATAATTGAAGCTTCCAGGACATCATCTATTCTCATATGTCTACACTACATCTATTCTCATATGTCTACAGCCATTAGTTCAAATTAACTTTCATAGGTGCTACACATACAAACCGCTAGTTCGAACTTAATTCGAACTAGCAGAGCGCTTAATTCAAACTAAGTAAACCTCATTCTTCGAGGACTAACGCCTAGTTCGAATTAAGTAGTTCGAATTAAGGGCTGTGTAGCCACTTAATTTGAACTAGTTGGAGGCTAGCCCTTCCTAGCTTGCCCTGGTGGCCACTCTGGGCCAAACCAGGGAAACTCTTCTGCCACCCTCCCGGCCCCGGAGCCCTTAAAGGGTCCCGGTCTGGCTACGGTGCTCGCCTGCAACCACCCAGCTAGCAGACCCTGCACCTGGCATGGGATGAGCCAGCCACCCGCTGCCACCCAGCCCTCCGCCTCTTCCCGGGACCAGGCTGGCGGGTCCCCGGGGGCCGCCCCGGGGCAACAAAGGGGGG